CAAGGAGGATAAGAGAGAGAGAGAGAGAGAGAGAGAGAGAGAGAGAGAGAGATGTGAGGAAGAAGAGGAAAGCAAATATTGGTATGTCTTGTGTCCTGTTACAGCCTAAACAAGCTATATATATAGAATGGAGTATGGAACCTAAATATTACAACCAATCATATAATGCCACCTCATTACATATAAATAATAAACAGAAAATGAAACAGTCTTTTATGTCTAATACACCATTGGTACCTCCCCACGGGACGTCATCATTTTTTAACTTTTCACTACATCCATTACTTCAAATTTAAAAAAATATTCTTCTAAACAACTCCAAAGTATTCATTTTACATTGCAGCTCTTTTTTACTCAACCCTTAGTTTCTACCAAATTTGTTCTATGAAGGAAAGTATTAATATTTTTCAAAAATATGCAATAATTCGATTGGTTGTTATTCATCTTCCCTAAGACATAAATATAACTCTAGTTCAATATGAAATCCTTTATTGCATATATGGGTATGCTAAAAACTTTGGTATTAGTATCGACTATGGTGTATTGCTTACTATAATCTTAAGCATCATCATGTTTTTAGATGACAAGTGATATTATGAAAGGCTAATAAATGAGGGGAGTCCACCACATGGTTGAATGGCCATGGTCCATGTCTATGGATGGAGAGATTATTACGTACGGAGAAAGGACAAATAATACCGTTCGATTTTATCTCTGTGAACAATAAAAGCTCAGTGATGAACAGTAAAAGCGCAGTTCACTATGTTTTTACTATTTATAGAGACGAACCAAATGGCTCTCAGTGTCCGGCCTCCGCACGTAATAATTTCTCCCATGAATGAGAGACGAGCTTCGTTTAATCCCCATATGATAGTTGTTGATGCCATTGCTATCTACATGCATAGTGCACTTAGGCTTCATTTAGAATGACTTTCTTAATGTTTTTTTTAAGTAGCTTTTAATACAAAAATTTCTTAAACTAAAAATTTTTGAACCTAAAAATTGTTTTGTAAAGTTTTAAGAAAGTTGTCCCAAATGAAATCTTAGTCCTGACAAGTGTTGCGATATTGAATGGTTTTAGATGGGAGCAATGATGTTTGGTCTTTAGGTGGCAATGATTGATCATTATTGTCATCAGTGATGGATCTCATTGTGCTATTGCAATAGTATGGTGGACATAAATAAGAGAAGAAAACTATTTGATCTTTAAATGGTGGTAAGTAGTATAATAATTATTGTCATGTATAACATGTCTAATGTCATTATTATGGTAGCATTATGGCCATCCATAAGAGAAAATCATCACTTAGTCCATATGTATAAATAGGTAGTGCCATCATCATATATGGAACATTTCACCTACTATTACTATAGATATGGCATTCATCAAATGATAAGTCTCACCAAGATATAAAATTATTAAGAGCTAGGCTTCGTTTGAGGCAGCTTTTTTACTGCTTCATGCTTCTTAAAATAATTTTTTAATAGAAATTTTTAATTTTTGTACTAAAAAATTATTTTAAAAAGCAATATGAAAATTGTCCCAAATGAAGCTTTAATTTGCCACAGAAAAAAGCTCATTGATTACGACAATAGAGATAGTTGTCATACTGCCACTTTATTTGACATTTGCATGTTATCTTATCATATGTAGGATAGGGATGCAACTCAATGACTTTACAATTGCAACTAAATCCCTTTGCCTATTTTGATGATAGCAAATATTTATCTGTTGTCTTTTATGAGTTAGTTTAACCTGCTGGCTTCAAGTATGTTAAAAATCAACTACAAGGATTGCCTTAAAGTTGAAATTTTGTAGAGTTGATTATTGCATGAAAAATAGCTTAAGGACTTTACTATTTTTCCTCATTTAAGCTTTATCTTACTTCTTCTTAAAACAATTTTCTAGTACAAAAATTTAAATTTTCATACTAAATAGCTGTTTTAAGAAGACAAATTTCTTACTGCTTTTTAAAACATATTTCTAATGCAAAAATTAAATTTTTTTAATTAAAATGCTACTTTTAGAAGCTTGTTAAAGCAACTTTCTAATACAAAAATTTAAATTTTTATACTAAAAATCTATTTAGAAAGCCGACCATGACAACCTTCTTACTACTTTTTAAAACATCTTTCTAATATAAAAATTAAAATTTTTGCATTAAAACATTAATTTTAGAAGCAGTAAGAAAACCATCCCAAACGAAGCCTTAATCTCAACTAAAAAAAGTTGCATAATCTTTCTTTTCTCATTTGGATATTGCATAGCTTAGAGCATCTGATCCAAGTCAACTAGCTTGGTCAGTTCTTATTATGGCCAGATAAATCTAATGTCCACTTCAAATATATATTTTTAAGAATATTGACATTTGATATGATATAAAAAAGAATGCAAAATAAAAATTTGATGAATTCTAATTCACTTCATAGTTTATTTTTAATGTATTTCAAACTCATCATATTTTAATCGAACACCTAAGACATCACAATTACCCTAGTTGCCACCGCCACGCGCAATCACTGATATAGCCACTAGCCACCACCATCATCGCCGAACAAGTCAAACCACTGACCGCATAAACTGCCCATCGCTACCATTGCTCATCACTGCCTCTGCCGACTAGCCACCAGCCCAACTACCATTCGCCATCATCAAACATTACACTACATTCGCCATCATCAAACATTACACTACATTCACATTACTTCAAACAAAACATAATAATATCTTCTACATTTCTTTTACACTCATCCAAATAACTACAAATGTTTTGAATACATTACATTCCTTTTATACCATTTTATTTTACTCTTCATTCCTTTTTCAACAAGCAAAAAACTTATATTACAAATTTTGTCAGAATAATCTTAAAATCATTAAATTCACTTTAAAATGAATAAGATATAGTCACAATCAACAAAAACTTATATTGCACTAATCTCAAAGCAAATCCAATGAATTTAAAATCCACCACAACCCACAAAAACCAATTTTTCCCCCTTATCAAACATCACCAAGGAACAAAAACACCAGATAAATATGTACATTAGAGTCTTACTAACCTAATTCAACATACTGCCAAACATAAAAGAAATACAGTAATGATATAATAAGTTATATTATAATAGAGCAGAACAATAATTTCTTCTCTTATAGAATGCCTATCAAGACCTCATAAAGAACTTACAGTCAAGTCATGGGGTCCAGAGCCTGCCTATAACATGCACAGCAGCTCAGGTCTCTACACCTTCTGGCATGGCCACATAATCTTCTCAATAGCACACAGGCATTGCTTCTTTCATGCCCACATTATAAGCCGCCCTCGGCTCCTGCCGGCGATCTGCAACAAAATCAATCGCCGTTAAAAAATTTTCGTTAAAGATTGTGTTGGGATATTCTGCTGCAAAACACATCAAGATAGACTTTAAAGTCGTCTAATTTATGCTGAGAATACATATAACACTAATATTAAAGCAAATCGAACGGCTTTGAAGCCCATCGTGATACGTTTTGCAATAAAATATCATGATAATTTTTTTAATTAAAATTTGATCATGATGAATTTCAAAACCATTGAATTAACTTTTTGTAATGGGTGCTCTAATCTCAAATTTATATACAACAATAACAACAACATCAAACCTTTGTCCCACTAGGTGGGGTGAGCTACATGAATCATTTTTCTCAATTGTCCTATTAAAAGTCAAATTCTAATTTAAATCTAATAACGAAAAATCATTTCTAATATTTTATAACCAATTCTTTTTAGGTTTACCTCTACCTTTCTTAACACAAATCAAATCTAATACATCTACTGTCCTAACCGGGTCATCGGAAGGCCGCCGTTTTATATGATCAAACAATCTAAGGCGACTCTCTCTAATATAATCTTCCACTGGTGCTACTCCAACCTTTTCACATATATGCTCACATTTTCAACCAATTGCAAAGTATTTCATCAGCATGAGACCAAGTTAGCTTAGCAATTGCCAACATGATAGAGTAATATTGGAGGGCTACAATCCTAATATGGAAACTGTGCAAAATAGTTATTAGATATAGCTGAAAAGTTAGGGATCCAAAGCTACCAAAATACCTTCAAAGTTTTCAGATTTCATTCATGGTCATGGAGAAACATCGAGAATACTATATGAATCTCATTTTATATCTTTAATGAATTTGGTGGCATAGAGGTATTATGAATTCTTTACATCTAGGCAAGAATAACCAAATCTCTCCCTCTGCCATTTGAGGTCAACCTAGGTGTAGAGTATCCTGCCACTCCAAATTACAAAGTCAAGCTGCATCTTCTGCTCCAACTAGTGTGTAACTTTGTCAAACTAAATTATTATTCTAGTATCATTTATAAATGTCATAATAATATGCCCCCATTGTCACAGGCGAATCCCCCATGTACTTAGGGTGGGCAAATGCCCACTCTAAAAAAATATATTAAAGATTTAGAGGGGATATTTTATAATATTTTGACCCCCTCCAACCCCCCGCCCCCCCCCCCCCCCCCCCCCCCCCCTAAAAATTTTTTTGCCTAATTTTATCAATCCTAAGCGTCTTTGCCCATTCCCCATAAAAAAAATAAAAAAATGTGCTAATCCTTAAAAAGAAGCTGGATCCGCCCCTGTCTATCGTCAACTAAAGGAACAATCATATCTCACCAACACTCCACTCATATATTTGTGAATCTCATTATTAGCAATGCCGGTAAAATCTTTTCCACCTTTATATATGATTGTACTAAGAAGCACCAAAATTCCAAAGAGTTTCCATGCATCCACTTTCACATCTATGTAAGTCTAAACAGATGTGCGGGACTTACCATGCCTCTATGATGGCAGAGACGAATAGACCCACCAGCATAAAGTGTTTCACACATATTCATGTAGTTAGAATAACAAGGGGCAAAAAAAGAGCTCCATCTTGGAAACTTTAACAGAAGCCTAATGAAATTTCAACCAATATAAACAAAAGAGGCGATGGCTTTTGGGCAGATATTGAAGTTTCAAGGTGGTTTGAAAGAAACCAAAGCCATTTTTAGCTGATCCAACTTGAGCAAATTCTGAATCAACCAAAGGTATCCAGTCCCACTTAAACTATTTACTTCCTAAATAACCAAACAACTTTTCCCAAAATGAAGAGGGTTAAATCTCCGTAATATGTAAAGATAAACGAAGAATAGTATCAACAAAAGGCTACCGTATTATCCAAGGTGAATCGGTAGATTCTAAGAAAATATAGCACAACAGATCAGGGCATAATGCAAATAAGCGCAAAAAATTTTTTACTGTGCCAAATGTGATGTATAATTCAAGGCCATCTAAATATGCTATTCACTGTAAAGTATAAAAACAACAACATCAAGCTTTTATCCCACTATGTGGGATCGGCTAAATGAATTATTTTTTCTCCATTGTCATCTAAAAGGTTAAATTCTCATTAAATCTAATAAAGAAATGTCATTTCTAATCTTTTCTAACAAAGACTTTTTAGGTCGACCTCTACATTTTTTTAACATAAGTCAAATCTAATACATCTACTTTCCTAACCAAGCCATTGAAAGGCCGCCGTTTTATATGACCAAACCATCTAAGGCGACTCTCCTAATCTTATCTTCCATTGGAGTTACAACCTTTCACGTTATGCTAATTTTGTATCATGTCTCTAATAGTAAAGTCAATCATCCACTTGAGCATCCTCATCTCAGCAACACTTAACATTATGTTTCTCTTTTAATGGCCAACATTTTGCACCATAAAGCATCGCAGGTCTCACCACCATCTTATAGAATTTTCTCTTAAGTTTGAGGGGGACTTTTCTATCATACAACAAGTCTGATGCATTCCTCCGCTTCAACCATCCAAATTGAATTCTACTAATAATATCCTCATTTATTTCATCATCACTCTGAATAATAGATCCAAGATATCTAAAACCTATACTCTTATTAATGACTTGATCACTCAAAGCCACAATCCCCTCACTAGATCTATTATCACTGAAATTACACTCCATATATTTAGTTTTAAATCTATTCAAATGAAAGCCTTTAGACTCTAAGGTTGATCTCCATAATTCAAGTTTACCTTCAACTTCCTCCCTAATCTTATCAATAAGAAGAATATCATCAGCAAAAAGCATACACCATAGTACAACCCCTCTTGCAAATGTCTAGTGAGAAAATCCATAACTAAAGCAAAAAGATATGGGCTTAAGGCTGATCATTGATGTAATCCAACCGAAATAGGAAAATACTCTGTCAAACAACCTTTTGTTTGAACAAGTAACAGCTCCTGCATACATATCCGTAATGACTTGAATATAAGCATTAGTAAGCCCTTCCTTTTCGAGAACTCTCCATAGCACTTCTATTGGAACTTTATCATATGCTTTCACTAAATCAATAAATATCATATATAGATCCTCCTTATTTTCTCTATACTTCTCCATCAAACCTCTCAATAAATATATAGCTTCTATAGTAGACCTACCAAGCATGAATCCAAATTGATTTTGAGAAACAATAGTATCACGCCGCAACTTATGCTCTATAACTCTCTGATGAGGGCATCCATAGGAGATTTCGACACACCTACCATCGGAGGGGTCGTTGAGCGATGGCCACGATTCATAGTCTCTATTTCTGATGTTTTATTTTTATTCATGTCATTTACATTTTATGTTTTCCACTTGTACCCCTATGAGGAAGTTATTGCATATGGTAAGCCCAAGGGCAATGTCGTCTTTATGGTTTTTATTTTTTCGAATGGCCTATATAAAGGCTTAGTCATTATATTTGGAGTTTAGTTTTTTATGAATGAAAAATTTGCTCATATGTTCTCTTTGTGAGTTCATGCCTCCTAGATCTCTTAGTGAGTTCCTCGGAAAAGATAGATTTCTTTGTGAGTTCTAGATTTTCATCCAAGCTATCTTTGTGGAAATTCGGATTAAAGATAATTGAGGTGAGTGAATTTGTGGCCACTTGAATCCCTTGAAAATTCTCCTTCTCCCTTCCCCTTGCCCCTTGCCGCCGCCTCTCCCTAAACCGCCCAGGCCGCCGGCCACCTGGCAGCCACCTCCCGCCAGCCGACCAACCCCACGCCTTGCCCCCCCCAATTTAATTGAATTTCAAGTTCAAATTGATCCAATTGATTGTCATCATATTAGGAAGCTTTCCCCACTTAAGAAATCTGAAATTTTATTTCATATTTTTATTAAAATCTGTGATTAAGTTTGTGGGCCCCATTGAATTAAAACTCAAGCCCCTCTCTCCTAGTCATGTGGCCGGACCCTTAATGGACCCCTCTCTCTCTCCAAATTACATTAATAGCTCCACTAAATCAGCCCCAAACTTCTCCCTATTGCCGCCCCCCTCAACCTCTAATGGAATTAATTTGAAATCTTCAAATTTATTCCCTCCCACCCAAATAAAACTGAAATAATTTCAGATTTTTCAATTTTATTCTTGGAGCCTCTCTATAGCCAACCCCCTCAAGTACCCAAGCCAATCCAACCCTCTTCCAACCTGCCACCTCCTCTCTCCCTCTTCCCCTTTTGGCGTTTCTTTCTCTTCCGGCAAGTATGCATGGCGGATCCCGAGATTGATAGTGGATTGGTATTCGACGTCTACGGAGAAATCCACATCACCCGTTCACCGTTCTTCGATGTCGGGTTTGGATTCGACGACACTGTTGAAGATTATTTGAACCGCATCCTTCCAACTCTTGTGGACGTCATAGACGAGCAATTTCAAGACTACGATTGGACCATCAACGGACATCCACCCGCTTCCCCACCTCCACCGCCACCGCCTCCCTCGCCATCACTAGGGATCGTCGACGCCGTCTACCTTGGATTGATTTCGTTTCTTGTATGGTTCTTCTTCCTCCGACAACCCTAGATGTAGAAGAGGATTGAACCATCAACGAACATCCACCCGCTTCCCCACCTCCACCGCCACCGCCTCCCTCGCCATCACTAGGGATCGTCGACGCCGTCTACCTTGGATTGATTTCGTTTCTTGTATGGTTCTTCTTCCTCCGACAACCCTAGATGTAGAAGAGTGACTTTGAGCCTCAAGGAGAGACGATCGTTTTGTTAACCGCGGATTCTAGTTGACTAATCATTTCATTACTTTTGTTTAAGTTGTTATTTTAAAGAACTTGCAAATTTAGTTGTGATGGATTGCCTAAGCATTGTTTACTTCGAAGATCTTTCTTGAGTTTTCAATTTTGAGAAGCTTTAAAATTATTTTTATCATTGCTCCAACAAACTTTATTAATCTCTAAGAAAACAATTCCTGGTTTCACATCACTCTCTCCTATAGTT